TTAGATCGAAATAATCTATAATTGGCGAGGTTTTTGGTGATAAATCACTACACAAATTATTATATAAAAATCGCACTCTTGAATATTAAGTTAATAGTTTATGCATAGAAAAAATCAGTTACATCATAAAGTTAGTTACTTCTTCAGTTTTCGTTTAGTTCAGATTTCACAATAAATTTAATATATTGTTCTTGCATTCCACTTTGTTAATATTCAATATTTTTAATGTAAGAGATTGGAAAATATATATCACAACATTAATCCACAAATGTTCATAGAAATGAGATTCAAATTTATCTCAATTTGTTGATATCAAATAAAATGCAAAAAAAATACATTACTTACTATCGTTCATAATGCTCACAAACTTATTTGAGTATTTTTATTGATTTAAAATTAGTGATCACAATATTAAAGAAATATATAAATTTCTATGTATAAGTTAGTTTAATTACTTGATCACAAACACTATGAGTGACTGTTAATCTCAACTTTTGTTCCAATAAAAAATGTTATATGTTTGTACCGCTGCAATTTGTTTTGGTCTTCACCATATGTTTGCTATTTTAATGTTTTATTTATAAATAATTCCTGATCAAAATACAAGAAGTTATTTATTAAATTATAAACAAGTTTCTATTATAAATTTCGCAGATTAACAATTAATAATATGACTTCGACAATATTGCTATCGTTTTTATAGAAATTTTATTTACTTTATGAAAATTAACGAGTTTATTAAATACGCACAACGTTTGTCTTCAATCACTAATCTTTACGAATCTTAAAAATCAGAATAACTTGATTTATTTAAAATATAAAATTAAAAAATAAACAATAATTTAATCTATTTTCACTTATCACTACTTAGTCTTCTTGGAGTTAGAATGTCGTAAAAAATAGGCAAAATTATAGTAATAAAAATTTTTTTTTTTTAGAATTTTGTAAACTATGATGCTTTAATCAACCTTACTTTATTCCCCAAAATTATTTCAACTTATTTCTTGTTTGTAATCTTATATTTGAGAGATTCTGAGTAGAATCAATTCTAATTCTCATATAAGATGCAGTAAGAACACATCAGGTGTACTTTTTCCAGTAATTTCATTTGTCCAAATTGGTGGTGTTTGGTGGGTAGAGGAGTACCAAATGGTATCGCTGGTGCCCTCCAGACAGCCACCAGTTAGTTGCTACGACCTGAAAAATAATTAAAAAAATGCATTGTACACTTATTTACATATGACTTATACAAAAAATTAAAATATAATATATAAAAATAATAGATAATAAAATATACGATATTCAGAATAGATTAAAGAACAAATCTTTACTGTATTTACTGTATTTTTTCTCTACTACTAAAGTTAGTTATGAAAATTAAAGTTGAGTAATAAGCTTAAAATTTTCACACGATGATTTAGAAAGTTATATTAGTAACTGATACACAGACTCGTCTTAGTTACTTAGCAGAAAATGACCACAATTTTACATTGAATTATAAAGTAATTGGTGTCATTACCGTTTTCAGTTGTGAAAAAACATGATTACTTAACATAATTTTCCTAGTCATTCTCTCGGGTTTTGTATTTGTATTTTTGGAACACGTTTTGTATTTCAAAACATATTAACCCTCCGTCGGTCGGATATTTATTCACCTTCGAACGGTCGGAGTGGTCTGGCTGGACCACCATTCATTTTACATGCATTTATATATTAACGATTATTAGTAATAAATATTTATAGTTTTGATTTTTTCTTTTTCTTACCGTCTTTTGCATGTGTTGAGCTTGCTTATACTAAAAAAAAAAATATAATAATTATATTATATAAAAAAAATCAAAGAAAATAAAAAAATCGTTGCTTTTTTTATTATTTTTATTTTTCTGTTTTATATCAATGAAAAACAATATTTATTCTTTTTGGGCTCCTTTGAAATGAATGTGAAATTCAAATGAAAACGAAATGAGGTGCGTCGCCTTTGAAATGAGTTGTAAAATTCAAGTTGAAAATATAATTTCACTACAGGTTTTCCAAAAAAGTTTTCGAACGCAGTGGGTAGAAAAATTGTTGATAATGTGCGCATTACTCATCCGATTTTCAATGTTTGCGATGACAAATAAGTTTGGTAGGTTTTCACAGAACTCTCGTCGTGAAAATGCTAACATTCATGTTGCAACATATAGCAAAGAATATATAAAATGCAGTTTGAATAGAAAATACCAAAAAAAAGACAAAATACTGGTTTACATATATCAAAAAGCGTATATTTCATACAAAATGTATGGGTGGTCTAGACAGACCACTCCGACCGTTCGAAGTATAAAAAGTTAATATCCTTATAATTATCCTTCTGTACATTTTTTCGTCCTGATTTTTTCATTGATCGACAGCTAATGAAATTTTAGGGAAAGTCAAGAAATTTCAAGTCGATAGGATTACTAGAAGTATTTTTTTTAAATTGAAGTCGAAAAAAGTCTGGCCAGACCACGCCGACCGACGGAGGGTTAAAATGTGTGAAATTCAAAATTAACATGACTACAACGGTTCATAGAGTAGTCCGACAACCGCCAACTATTGATGCTCAAATTTCTTCATTAACTCGCCCATGTAATTTCTAATTAAGTAATTATATAATCTTAAACAAGTCATTTATATATTCATTCCCAATTGAGTTTGAGGGAACAATAGCGTTTAACCGAGAAACCAATTGAATATTGGCAATGCCCAAAGATCTGATTCAGGTGCAATTGAATCTTTTTGCAAAATTAAAAGTGCAAGATAAAAGTGTTTTCGGGGTTCTAGTAATTAATATTCGTCGTACGCACAAAAATCTGATGAATAAGTGTATGCTGTAAGCCCAATTGCAAAATTATACATATTATACGTCTTGAGAATTTTGTTTTGTTATTGGCTTTATAAACTTGTACAAAATGGCCAAGCATAGTTGTGAAATTCTTTAGATAATGGCCAATGTACAAGCTTACAAAGAAAATAAAAAAAAAATAAAAAAAAAATGGCCAAGCAAAAATTACGAGACGTAATAAAAATTTTGGATCAATATTATCTGTGCAAATATAAAAATCATTACAATAGTTACAACTGTAAGAATTTTAGAATAAGAATTGTAATTTATTTTCTTTAATTATTTAGCAAACATCATTACTAACACTAAAGAGACTGCGGTTTTCTTTAAAATATAAAAATTTCACTTTTTGTGTTATTCATTTGTTACACTTAAAAAAGTTTCAATGTTGAATGAACCAATCTATATGCATAATTAATTAGGTATATATATATATATATATATATATATATATATATATACATATATATTATATACATATATAATTAATGTATGTTAACATATTTTAGTAATTTTGATGTTGTGTGAAATTAAATCATCAGACCCATACATCAATTAAAAATTGTAGAAATTTAACTTTTTTAATTTTTAGGAAAATCGTTATTATTTCCATACGTTTCGACATATTATCTTAAGTCATCTTCAGTAGACTAAAAACCAGAATATAAAATAACTAAACTATGTGACAATGAAACAGATAAATAAAACAAATATATAAAGAAGTAATATGGTGTAAAAACATGTATATTGGAATGTTCCTAAGTATTTTATGAACATAATAATTCACTATAGCACTAATAAAATAATTCTTGTCAGTTTAAATCGGAAAAATATGTATTTTATAATTTTCTACAATTTTCAATTGATATATTGCCCTATATATATATATATATATATATATATATATATATATATATATATATATATATATATATATTGATTGTTTCTTTCCGAACAGTTCGGAAAAGAAACAATCAATATATTGAAAAAATCCAGGACTTATCTATTGAATATATATATATATATATATATATATATATATATTAATATATATTATAGAATTTTGCGATATGAGTGAAACGAATATTAAATGTAAAATATGAACAGATTTTTAACACACTTTATTTAATAATTACAGACGTTTCGAGACCATGGTATGCCTCATCTTCAGTGTAATTTCAGAACTGTAAAAATTATATACTAATACATTATATAATATTTTATTTAAATTATATTTAATTTTTGAAAAACATAAAACGCCACTATCTCTTACAATGCTCGCGAGTACTGTGTCAAGCATTGTAAGAGATAGTTGGTGGTAATTATTAAAAATCTGAGTGTTGTTCATATTTAACATTTCATATATATATATATATATATATATATATATAATAATTAATTATCAAAAATTATTTCCCCTGGTCAAAGTTTTAGCAACAGCAACTTAATTCAAAGCAGGATTCTAACTAGAATCACATTGATAAGTTGCACTCCCAATCCTAATGTGGTACCTGTAATATTTTATAAATATGGCATGGAAATAACCTTGTAATATAAAAAATTACTGATATTTCTAATGCTTATATCATTCTAACAGTGGTAATGAACTAAAACACCAAAAGTACAAACTGCATTAACATATACAGATTTGTTTATATTGATATGCTGTTACATCTTTATTATTTGAAACAATAGAATTGCGTTTTTGTATTTGAATTCGTCATTAGCATATATATCTAAATTTTATTACCTAATAACTGGATTGTTTACATTTTCAATGAAAGTCCAGTATTCCAATACATATAACAATTATTATTGTTAAAGATATTGTATGAAAATTCTTACCTTGAAAGTTTCAAGATTGAAGTATGACTTCAGAAATAAAGACAATTAAAAATGTATTTGGTAATATGTTCTAAGTGAATTCTAGTTTAAATATCACTCATTGTTCGTATTTCGAATAATAATACACTATGGCTTATCCTGTAATCTTGAATAAAATAAACATAATATGAAGATAAGGAGGTGGAGAATTTAAAAGATAAGATTATATAAACAAAAGCATAGTGTCGGGCAATTTCATTTGAAAGCATATATTTAGGGTATGTGCACGCTAGAAGAATATTAATTTTGCAATACAAAAATGGATTGAAAGGAATTTTGTGTCTCACAAATAAAAACCAAGCTAATGGGATCATTTTTTCCTTCCGCATATTTTATAGTCATTTGCAGATTAGCGTTAATAGTTAAACTAATGATCATAATTTCGTATAGTAATTTCCTTAAAATGTATCATTATTCTCAAATTATTTTTGAGGTATTATGGTTTCTTACATGCTGCAAATGCGATATTTTAATAATGCCATTGCACTGTTCCGATTGATTATTTATTACAACTAGTATATCAAAAACCACTGAAAATCTTTTAAACACACTTAAATAGCATTACCAAACATATTGCTACAATAGTTTGGATTCAATCGCACGACGATATACCAAATCCATCTAGAACCACAAAACAATCACAAGCCTAAATCGACCACTTTTTCACTCAAACTCAACCGGTATTTTGTACATTTGAAAAGCAGGAAATAGAACACTACAAATTCTCATGATTTCACCAACAATGAATACAATTTTTTCAACATGAAACAAATTTACTAAGACCATACCTTTTACAACATATCACTTTGAATTTTTCCATGTAGGCGAATTGTAAGACCGCAATTTCGACGATTTAGATTCGAAACATGCTCGGAGTCACAGACGCGTTTTGGAAGCACAGCTTTTAAAAAGCGACATTTGCATAATAAACATTAAAGTCTAGTTCGGACGTCTGACAAGACCAAAAGAAGTGAAAACACTAGCGGCCATTTTTAATAATTACGATGCTTTGTGTGAAAGTTCTAAAGATGGCACCGCCTCTTGTGCAATGTTTTGACATTTCAACAATCGACTGCGAACTTCACGATGACAGTTCAACTCGGATCTGAGATTTGATTTGTAATACAGCAATTAACTGCAATGTGTAATTAAACATCAGTTTGATATTAGTTCGTTAATACATGAGTGATGTTTCTAATTAATTATTTGATATAAATCAAGTATTTCGTTAATAACACTGCATTCGTTTGTGTATTTATCATATCTTCATTTGACTGCATTTCATAAATTACAATTACGCCTGTTTGTTTTTAATTCACAATTATTTTCACCAGTTCTGATTCTAGTCTTAATATTAGAACATCATAGAAATTATTTTGGATCTTTATTTCTTATGTCATTTAACTATGTAGATCTACTCTAAGCAATTTTGATTAAACACCCAATAATTTTTTTAGTGTTGACTCAAAAACTTGCTTTAAAATAAGTGTTTTGTTTAATTTTATAACTGAGATCTGAGATTTGATTTGTATCTACAGCAATTAACTACGATGTGTAATTAATCATTATTTTGATATTAGTTTGTTAAAACACGAGTGATGTTTCTAATTAATTATTTGATATAAATCAAGTATTTTGTTAATAACACTGCATTCGTTTATGTATTTCTCATATCTTCATTTGACTGAGTTTCATAAACTACAATTACGCCTGTTTGTTTTTAGTTCACAATTATTTTCAACAGTTCTGATTCTAGTCTTAATATTAGAACATTATAGAAATTATTTTCTATCTTTATTTCTTATGTCATTTAACTATGTAGATCTACTCTAAGCAATTTTGATTAAACACTCAATAATTTTTTTAGTGTTTACTCAAAAACTTGCTTTAAAATAAGTGTTTTGTTTAATTTTATAACGATATTATAATGAATATTGAAGGAGGATACGTATATACATTCATAAAATTACTCCTTGTAACAATAATTAATCTTGATTATATTCGATAAGATTTTATTATTTAACTCTCCCGAATAATAAAATAAGTATTACGTATTTCAAATAAAAACTAATACATTTATCATATTATTTAAGCACTAGAGATATTTCATTCTGCTTTTAACAAATATTACGTTTATTCAAGTGACTAAATTTGGGCAAAGTTGTAAATTATATTGTTCGCCTTTATAAAACTAGAATACCCAATTGAATGTTCATTTTTTGTGCATAAATAATGAAATTTATATAAACAAAATTCATAAATATTTCATATATATTCTAATAATCAAATATATTGAAAGAATTATGAATAACTATAAAACTAGAATACCCAATTGAATGTTCATTTTTTGTGCATAAATAATGAAATTTATATAAACAAAATTCATAAATATTTCATATATATTCTAATAATCAAATATATTGAAAGAATTATGAATAACTCATAAATAAGCACAAACTATATTAGCAAACTTTAAATGTATGAAATAGAATGCGGCAAAAGATGAAAAAAATACTTTGTCACCTGAAAATGATCTCTTCCTATTTTTCATTAGTATATTAATTGAAATGGAAAAAGTTAGGAAAGAAGCTGTGTTAACTCGGGATGATTTTGATGGTGGGCCGGTTAGCCTTGATCTAATAGAAGAAAATTTATATTTAGGTGTGATAATATATCCCATTATTTCATAAAAGCATGAATAATAAGTTTAGTACTTTCAACAGGTAATGTTACAGCTGCATGTGATATTCCCACTTTAACAGAATTGAATATTAAATATATTTTGACAATAGATTCAGTTCCATTACCTCGACATATAACTGAAAATGAAAATTTTATTACCAAATATATTCAAAGTAAGTAGCACTAGATATCATTTATAATATAAATATAAATTTTATGTTGACTGAAACAGTTTGAGATAATTAAATTTAAATATATAAGTAAATATTGTGAATTTTATATCGAAAAAACAACTACTGAGTTGTTTTTTCCAACATGTCAAAGTAGTATACAATGTACCTTTTCGGCAGACTATTGTAAAACCATTAAATTTACTGAATGTCCTATACTGGACAGTTGTAAATAAAAGAGTTAATAAGATATAGATATACATATATAGATATATATAGATAGATAGAGAAGATAGATATATATATATATATATACATATATATATACATATATATATATATATATACATATATATATAATATATATATATATATATATACATATATATATATATATATATAACAAATAATAATGGAATAATTATTATTTGATATAATTTCACTACACTTACAACATAACGTTAGTTACAATATAATGTTAGTTACAATATAACATTAGTTACAATATAATGTTAGTTACAATATAACGTTAGTTACAATATAACGAATACATGTTGTTTTTAATTGCTATGCATTGAATTTCAGTTACTGATATTCCTAAAGAAGATATTTTATCAGTATTTGAATGCACAAACATGTTTATATCTGAAGCATTGGACAATAATCTAACAATATTAGTACATTGGTAAAGTAATCACATATGGATTTCTGAATGTATGAAATAATAATTCATATTATATTTTATTTAGTTATTATGGAATGTCTAGAAGTGCAGCCATAATTATTGCATATTTTATGAACAAATACAATTTACAATATGAGGAAGCATATCAAAGGTACATTTAGACATATTTTTTTGTAATGAAAGCACACAATTTTCAAGGTGTTTAATGTAAACCTCTTTCATAAAGTCAAATTAATATATATTTGTGTTTATTAGAGTTAAATCAAAAAGAAACCTCGTAAGCCCAAATCCAGGGTTTATTACGCAGTTGAAGCTTTATGGCAGTATGGGTTCGAAAATAGACAGAACGAACAATAAATATAAAATGTATAGGCTTAAAATTGCTGCAGATAAAGTTAGAAAAGGTAAATTATCTAATTGGCTTATCACTGCATGCCATCAAACTGTTCCAATACTTAATATTTATTACTAAAAAATTCTTTTTTTTTTGTTCTAGTTAAAATATTACCTCAAAGTTGTATGGAGCTCATACAACCTGATCCAGCATTATTGCAAGAAAGGCCTGATCCATTAGTTTATAGATGCAGAAAATGTAGAAGAATTTTAGCTTGCCAATCAAATGTAATTACACATAAAAAAGGAAAATCAGTAGGTAATATCTATAATTTGAAACTATGTGCATTAACATATTTAACAAAAACGAACGTTATATTTATTTTTAACTATTAAATAATATTTAGATTTTACCTTCCAAACGTTTTAAGATACTCTCATAAAAATATTTTTCGATATATAAAGTTATAAATGCTATAGATATTAAGTCAAAGTGTTATTAGATTGATAAGCATCAAACATCCTTCTGAAATATGTTGTTTTATTTATTTCAAGAAGATATGAGCAACACATCTCAAAATGATGAAATAAAAACTATGTCAGATATGAGTGCATCAGAAAATGAGATAACTAATTCTTCAATTAGTGGAGATGATGTTGCAACAATTGGTTCTAAAACAAAATCAACATCAGAAAATAGTCAGTCGAATGAGAGCATAAACATTCCAAATATGAGATCAAACTGTTCCCAAACTTATTTCGTTGAACCAATTGCATGGATGAAAGAAGTTACTCATAACACTCAAGGTAATTTTTTGAATGGGCGAAAAAATATGATAAATAATGAAAATTCATGAAATCATAACCTCGCCTTTGATTTTTTCACATTGTCAATTACGGTAATTCTTCTTTACATAAATTAATAACATAATTTGAGTTATATTAGTCTGCATGAATCTTCATCTATTACTATCTTTGCATCTATATTTGAAAATTAAGAACAGGCAATAAATCAAAGTTTTAAACAATATATAAATTTATATGAATATTACTTACAGGTAAACTGTATTGTCCTCATTGTAAAAATAAACTTGGCAGCTTCAATTGGCTTATGGGTAAGATTTTTCTTGATGCTTATTTTCAACCATAATATGTGTTCTTTTATGTTTCCATATCGATAGGATGCCAATGCCCTTGTGGAACGAAAGTGTCACCTGCATTTTATCTAGTCCCTTCAAAAGTAGAATGGTCAAATGTTGTTCAAAATATAGAATCTACAATATAGGCTCTTATTGATGTTGGTTACAGTATTATTACGAAAGTATGAAAATAATTTTAAATGTTTTCATGAGTGTTAATAATTCCTGTAAATTGTTGTTGAAAAATAAAATTATTTGACAATTCTGTGAGATTTAGTGTATTTAAATAACATAATAGATTTATTTATATTTTAAATAAGCTACAATGGAAACAACGCTTCTCATGCATGTCCACTAATCACTTCAATAAGCACACATTAAACAATACAACTTTGTTTTGATAACCCCAAATATTTATTAATAATTCTATACATAATTTATACAAATTATATATATATATATATATATATATATATGAATGTATATATATATATATATATATATATATATATATATATATACATATAGAATGAAATATAATAACAAAATTAAAATAATATGTAATATACGTCGCAAGGCTTGACCAAAATCATTTATAATTCTGATAAAAAATTGCACCTTTTTCCTTAGCTAAAAACTTTGTATTCTTTTTATAGATAATATTATGATATTTTACAAACTCACTTTGCCGCAGCTAATGATCACATTCTTACAAACCTCTTCGATTAAGGTAATTTAAATAGTTTTGAAAATGAATATGTTCTACAATCACTCAATTAACAAATAAAAAACTCTCATCAGTATCTGCGCAAAAGTGATCATTTATTATTTTATAAATGGCTTCTAGATATAATTTAACTACATAAAAATTTTAATATACCCAAAATATAAGTCATTGTCAGACGCAAGAAAATATTAAATCCAACTCAAACGAGAAAATATCGCAATTCACAAATTCTTTCGGGTCATTTCGGAATTCGTGCCAGCGCTTATTCAAGACAAAAGTGAAAAAAACTCTTTACATCTATTTAAAACGAGATTCCTTATAATTATTTAATTACGCTAACAAAAATCTCAAGTATTTGAGCTTCATGTCAACTTCACAATCATATGCTAATACAGTGATTCATTTATTTTTATTAATATAAAAATAATTCAATACTTCAATATTGAATTTGTCACAGGAATGATAAAATATTAAATTGAATGCTCCCGATTTGAAAAATATAAACCCCCCAAGCATTTTAAACACAAGACATTTTAATAAATTAAAAGTTTCTTGTAAAAATAAGATATCTAAATCTATATCTACCCAGTTTTATAAATTAAGATATTTTGGCTGTAATTGTAATTTTCCTAAAAACAATTTCATAAACTTCTAAATATATTACATTTATAAAAATAACAAATATTAAAATTTCCTTCAATATAAAACATGGATACTCTTCATACACATCAACCACACTTAAAGGAAAATAGAATCCAAATTATTAAAATAAGTTATTAATACTCTTGAAGAAAAAAATGATTGGATATACTAGCATATTATCAATAGCTTAATAACATTTTCTAGAGCTGTTTATAGAGGGACGAAGAAAAACAAATTGAGAAGTTCAATTAGTTTAAATTAAATAACTTAAAAGAATCATTGCTTTTTAACTTTATATATATATATATATATATATATATATTTATTATATATATATATATATATATATATATATACATATGTGTGTATACGTTATGAACAAGAATAACATTACACTTTTTGTAACAAAAATATAAAAATTGGAAGCTCTGAATAATAAGCATGATGAATGGTAAATTTATTTTAATTTCTCAAAAAACATTTACATTTTTGTTTTTTTATTCTCTCATTTTTTACTATTCAAGCAATATTGTTCCATGTTTCTTCAAGGGAATTAAGAACTTAATGCAATATATTAAAAATAACAATAAACGATACGTCCTCTTGCACTTAACGTTTATCAGTAAAATTATTATTTACATATACACATATTTATACGCATTAAATAATTATATGCAATACCAATCAACGGCGCATGCACTTACGTGATTGCATATTTAGATATACCAAAGTATATATTATATATTAACAAATTATTGTATATGTGTTAAGATACCCCATACACTCAGTGACAGTGTTCTGTTACATCAACTATTACAGATTTCTTCCAACCGAACAGGAAGTAACCAGTCGAAGCCCGGCGACCACGGCCAGACATAACCAGTAATTGTACGTCATGAACACCAACATAAGGAGAAAGGACACTGTTACCTGGACCGCATGCAGGATCGTTTGTAGGACGTTCATCCAACTCAACATGTGTTGCCTGTTGAAGTCAGATTCGATTAGAATGTGTCAAAATTAAGAGGAATTTTTACGAAATTAAACGCACACTGATATACATATTGTGATCTGATGATAATTTTGGAACTATTAATTTAGGAAGAGACTGCCAATTGGGTAAATGACAGATGTGTAATGTTGCAAGGCGATTTTCACCAGAACTTTAACGAATAGTTTGTTAGGAATTGTAATATGAACCAAACTTTGAAATACTATTGCTTAGAATGAGTCAATTATCAATTAAAACATACATTCGATCATGTTTCTGGATATAGTGACTTTATATAAAATTCAATCTAAATTCAATTTAGAGCAGGTCTCCAACAGCTTATGCTAGACTCAACGATTTATAAAATTCAATTATTTTACTACACTACAAAAATTAATCGATTAGTGTAGCTGCGTTTTTGAGATATATTCAGTTTTCATAATACAAATAATTATGAGAGAGGAAACGGTTTGACCTACCCTTACATAAATGTGAATATATTACCAGACCACGTAAAAGATTTGTTTATTATTATTGTCACTCAAATCAAAGTAATTTACTCGAAGCAACAATAACTAAATTAGACAATAGGCAAAATATGACAATATAGAAAAAATAATAATAAAAAGTATATTCATACCGAATAAAACAAATAACTTATATTTGAACTAGTGGTGCTTTAAGGCAAATATTGCTGGAACTTCCCGTTCCGTAATAAAATATTCGAAGAAGATATGCAAGAATTTTCATTTTCAATTTTTGACTCATTACTAAACTTATCCTGCGGGAAGAAAAATATAATTGCATTTGATTATTTTGTCTTAAACTACAAGTTTATATTTAATTTTTATTCAAATCAATATTATTTTAGATTTAGTTTCTTTCTATCAATTAATATATTCAAATATTTGTCTCTTTTCAATCCAAGTCTTATAAGATGCTTCAAAACGATTAAAATTTGTTTTTCGGGCGCACAAAGATTAAATTCTTCAGAAATCCATTAATTAATTAAAATTTAATTACGAAAAATATATTCTATCATCAGTGTACGTTATTTCGACATATGTAAAATATTAGTTATTAATATTCAGCATATGTTATACGTGCATGTTATAATAGCTTATGAAGTATATACATATGAAAAAATATCTGCATGCAAAGTAAAATAAAAAAATAAACTATAAAAAATGTTAACTAAAACAAAAGGTGCAATCGTGCAAATTGTGACCAGAAAATAAAAACTATGAAAAACTTGATTGTAAAAAAAAATGAAAGCTGTTTACAAGCCTTTTATTTATTAATCAAAGTATTAATAGAAGAAACGGCCACCATAAGTGCATGCTTAAATCTTATGTGATAACTTACGGCTGCTTATGTATAACTTCGCCGACCATGCTGAAATTTAAATATTATATTAAATATATAATATTTATTTACTAATAATTCATCATCGTAAATTCTGAATGAATAATAATTCATTTAATATTCTGAAAGTTGAATCTATTCGAAAAAAATTATAATTCATCATTATATATTACATATTTCGATATTTTGTTGCATTTTTATTGATAAACTGATATTGATAAAATTTTTTTTTTTAATATGGAAAATAAAACTTACTGCACTATTCGTCCGTCTTCTCCAGCCGCTTGTCCACCACTACCCGTTGCACTGGATGCAGCTGCCCCACGTTTACCCTTAAATCATAAAAAGTAAGTATTTACAAGATGGGCATTAATTTATTATAAAATAAACTCACTCCTCCTGCTTCATGTGCGACTGCTCTGTATTGTAATGAATTATGTGTCCTCCAAAATAAGTTTTCCCGATAGTACTTCAGGGATTCATATAAAGCAGCAGTGATGAAGATCGCAATCATTGATCCTATCAGGCCGGCTACGGTACTCGTTTTCCACCAGGAGAATAGAATGGTTTCTGTGCAACCGCCATGAAACTGTTGGATAAATCATTCTTGTAATAAGTATAACAAAATAAAATTTGGTATTAAATAATTATCTAGAAATAATACGACTAATGAATTTGTTCCTGATTTTCTAACAAGACGAACCTACAATTTATTCGCCTGGGATGTTGATGAATTTTACACAGTGATAGAGTAATGAAAACCAAATCCTTAAAATATTATAGCCCTGTGAGTAGTGTATTAATTACAAAAAAATAATTAAAGCTTATAATAAAAGGTTGCCTATCACTTTGTTTTCTAATCGATATCTTAAGGTGGTTAAACCGACACGGACTGACTCCCAATTTTTACATTTAGTTTTGCATGTTGGCATGTTTTTTATATTAAAAATCTTATACTTTAATATTGCAAACAATATTTATGAATACCAATTCATCACATTGAACAAAATCTTTAAGTGAATATATTTGTATTAACAATAAAGCATCTTTTATATTTTAAATGTTTCTGTAATTCACGGCACTAGCGCTTCCCATACTTGCTGAAAAGAATCTTTGAATCTAATCATAGTATATTTGATTCAAAGATTCTTTTATATTCTGATGAATTTAATAATATATTTTAAATTCTTTATTTCTATGTTTAACGGAGTACATGCATATTAAACAACGATGATAAAATATTCAATTTATCTACCTTTACCTAACTTTATTTAGTAATATTGGATAAATCGGTAATCTTATTATAGTGACGAGCAAAAATAAACTTTTATCTTCAGACCAAGTGAGCATAAACTGATATTGCATTAAAAAAAAGCAACTTTATCTATAGAAAAAAGTTGTGGTATTTTGAAGAAAAAAAA